ATATATTTGATTTTCTGATAAAACTAGTTGTCACTCCGAGCTTTAGTTAAAACTAGCACTGGAGAAACTGATTTGGGATTGAAAACAACATGTACTTACTAAATATTTATTAAAAAAATTTAGGACACAGAGTCATGTTCCAAGTAAAAATAATAATCTTACACTAAAGGAAAATTTTAGGGAACATTGACATAAAGTAGTTGCCAAGCTGACAATATTAATTAAAAGTAAATAAAATAATCAAACAAGTCAACAAAACACAACCATAAAATTAAAAAAAAGAACATTGATCGTTAAGGATCATTTTTGTTGACATACAATTAAAATAATCAAAATAAGCAATCCCTGATCATACTTTTGAAGAACCACTCCGACTATATTGCGTAGATCTGATTTTGCTCTGTCGACATCAGGAATTTGTATAATTACATTATCACCGATTTCTACTGGAACGTGTATTGCATATGAAGCCAATGTCATTCTCTGGCCCTTTTTTTCTTTAAGTTTTGATGTGCTGTTTCTCTGGATACCATTATTTGTCGATTCACATTTGTTACAACTTCGAGGTCTTTGTCATTTGGTGGTATTAAAAGAGGCGCTATAGTCGTAGACGCTTCAGCTTCAATGTCATATTCACTGGCTTCTGCCACGATTGGCCATTCTCCGCTCGTTTTGGATGAAATTTTTGTATATTTTTGTTTGACTCCGGTTATAATCTGATGCCGTCCACTGGAACTAGCTACAGGCTCAGTTTCTGTGTTATCTGTACTATCCGTCATACTTATTTTATCTAACGCATTTTCGAAATCATCTTCATCTCGTATAACCTCAATAACATCTCGAGACAAAGTCGAAGTCATAAGCCCTACTCGCAGTTATATACGAAATACTACTTCGTATGGTGACTGTTTAATACCGGAATGAAATGCCCGATTTTCCATAAACTGATCAAATCAAATATTATTTGCATTCATGAAGCCAACATTTTCTCTACATCTTGGTTAGCCCTTTCAACAGATCCTTGGCTTTGACTGCGTCTTGGCTTTCCATGGACCAGTTTACACTTGGGCCAAAATGAAACGAGCTCATTTATGACAGAATTTACAAATTTTCAGCCGTTATGGGAATGTAAAATGCAAGGAGCACCAAGTGTCAAAAATATACCAGTCAACTGATACGCCACCTCCACGGCTCCTTTTCTTTTCTGTGCATGCAAAAAAATTTGTCAAATGGTTTTTATACACCACTATATATTTAAATCCCCGATCTTTTTGAGGTTGCATGTCGATAAGATCGACTTGGCAACGGCTGTTTATTTCAGAATGTAGTATGGGTTTTGAAACAAGTCCTTTTTTCTTTATACTGTTTTTACGCTGACAAGTTTCGCACATAGAGAGAAAAATGTTTATCATTTCTAAAGTTATGTTCGCATATTTTTTGAGAAGTTTAATTTCTAAGCCTATCCCGACCACCATGACCAACGGCCACATGAGCTGCTTCAATTATATCAAAAATTTCATCTACATATAAGTAGTATTTCATGAGCTCTTTTAGTCACTAATTTTCGTATTCTACAAATATTAATTACCTTAAATCGCATCAGTCTCCTGTACTGTTTCTGAGATTTCTTAACAGCTAATTGAGCTTCTTCAATTTAGTCCACTTAATTGTCATAGGTTTCTTTTGTCATAATATAAAAGTGGTCCCCTTTTTTTCGTGATCGCGAATCGCTAATAACCGGTGTAAAAACTCCTCTTTCCATCGCGTTCCCTCATTTAAGTTTGCCATGAAAATTGCGCTCGAATCAAACTATATGTGCTTATCAGAATAAAAACAAAGCGGGACTGAACGGTGAAGCGGACGGCGCTCGGAAAGGGATTACCCAGCACCGCCCCGTAACCTCGGTCGTTTAATCTCGGAACACTTTTACCAGACTCCCTCCGGAAAAACACGTTTTATCTACTAAGAACTGGTTCTACCTGATATTCGATTTTGAACATTAGTTAATTCCAGTTATAACAAAGGCATTAAGTAAACACTAGTTTTAACTAGGGAAAACGCGTTCAATCTAAAAACTGATTTTAACTGTACGTTCATGTATGACTATTTTCGTCTCAGTATATCTCAAGTAAAAATAACAATATCGTCTATCAAGCAATATCATTTTTAATACGGATAAATACGAACCAAATACATTATATATAAATACCTCTTGTACATACATATATCTTTCATGCTAGTAATACACATAAAGATAATTATGTGTCCGAAATTTGATAAGTTCCTTCATTTGAATTAATTAGAAAGTAGCACTCCCATAAAGGTTGAATTACGCCGTTAAAATAGTTAATTGCTGTTCGCATTTTCAGAGCCTATTATAGACGTAATAAAAAGTGTAATAGGTACCTACGGATCAAACAAAACTTAGTAGTTAGTTAGTTGTGCGGGCTATTTTCCGCAACTCGATGTCCAAAGCGCGCATTTTGCGTGTGGACAGGAGTTCGTTGGGGCAGTAATCATGATATTCAAGCCATGAAAACTTTTCGAATAAGTATAGTCAATTCTTTAATATTACTGATGACCTCGGCGTGCCGAGATGCTTAGACCTGTAAGTGGCAACCTTCGGAAATACCAGCAGTCCTACGTTCTTCTTCTCTCTGTAAGTCCTGCACAGGGAACGGTTTTTTTATTTAATATGGGTGACACACGAGAACACAGTACATATGACGGTAAGAAGATGCCGTAGCCCTTCGATATCCACACTTATCCTCAATTAAAAATGTAAATGCAGACGCGTTGTCAACCTTGAGGACTAAAATGGAATGCCTCGTTTCCATTAAAAAGGGTCTCTAGTTCTCTACACTTATAATATGAAACACTACTGCATTAAGGTACTATTTTACGTTGGTGTTCTCTGAGAGCTACTACGGTAACATTATAGATTTGGACTTTAGCCAGTTAGGAGAATACAGGTAGCAAAACGTTTGTATTAGAAAGTAAGATCTAGATTTATCGACGTGCGAAAAAGTCAATGTAGATCGAATGTTCCTTGAGATTTATGTCTCATCTCTCGGACATCTTTCTTAATCAATTAATAAAGTATTCAATTAAGGAGAAGTAAAACGAGAGCCGTGGTAGCCCAGGCGCTAAGCGCTCGCTTTAAATTTCACAGCACGCGAGCAACTCGAGTTGAATCCCTACCGGCAACAATTAAATCACTAGAGTTTTCTGCATCGTTGAAGCATTTAATTTAGTTTTTTTTGGCTTCATCTCTCTTTCGTAAAGCGATAATATAAAAGTTACAGCTACCGTTACCGTTACATTCTTTTTTTAAAGTTCACTACTGAACATAAGCATTCCTCATAGATTGCCTCATAGGGTTAATATTTGACATAGTTGTCACGCTTTGCAAGCGGGTTAGCAACCACAGGTTTTTATTTTAGTCGTTATTAGGAAGACACTGCTGCCAATCTCCTGATTTGTTTTCCTCCATTACTTCTTACGACACCCATGGAATATTATGGAGTAGCGGATATTATTACACCTCCACTACACGGGAAAGGGTCACAAAGTGCCTGGTTTAAATATCTATGGGGCGTAGGATCCATTCACCAGTAACATTCAGCAAAACAGAACTAATGGGATCCCCTCGATGGTTGGATGTGTCTTTATTACAAACTTGAGATTAAAATTTGAAGTTTTAGCTTAAAGTGTTACATTTCCGAAGTAAAAAGGAGTTACATAATATTATTAAACATCTATTAATTAAATTCTCCGTGAAGTGATATTTCAAGTGGATGTTTTATTATTCCAATTAATTTAATTTTATTATAATTTATTACTTCATGGATGAAGATTAGTAGACATTCTATTTTAGTTTTCAGGGGAGACAATATATCAGCAATTTTGATTTTTATAAATAATAGACAGCCACAGCATCCACTTAACATCTATTCGTTTGTCAATCATACTTGTATAAAAAAATATATGGAAATTAATTATCGAACAACGTAACGGAGGCATTTCCGCTAAACATGAAATACACATTCAAGTAACGGGGATTAGCGTCAAAAGTATGAGCCTGACATAGGCCTACTTAATTTATGGAGATTTCACGTCGTCTCACGATACCCAGATAATAGGTGGACAATACAAACCACACGATGGAAGGGTATCTGGCAAAAGGAAAGTTGGAAAACCACACAAACGGTGGGCTAATGACATTATATAGTATGCTGGAAACACACACATGTCGGTCACCTCGTGAGCCATGTCCAGATATTTTGTTCGCTTATCTGTTTCGGCCTTCACGAGCTCGTCATATGGAATGGTAATGTCGACCAAAAATATCCTCGACTGTGCCCGGTCCATCAGCACAATATCAGGCTTATTCGCAAGAATAGTCCTGTCTGTGATGATGGTCCGGTCCCAGTAGAGCCTGGCGCGGACATTTTCGAGCACGGCTTCCGGCATGTACTCATAATAAGGCAGTTTCCGATCCACGAGACCGTATTTCAGAGCAAGCTCCTGGTGTAGAATCCTGGCTACTAGGTTGTGTCTATGCAAGTACTCAGAGTTAGAAAGCGCCGAACAACCGGAAATGACATGCCTCAGATTCACCGGGATGGCAACAAGCTCGACAAATGTCGACGGTACTATCCCTTAGGATGTATCTCCGATAGTTGTTGGTTTTAATAACCTGATCCTGTATTGCACAAACAAAACCCTCGGTTCCCCCGAAGAAGTCACCAAAACGTAGCCAGTGGAGGGAGGCAACTGCATCTACGAAAGGCTCATGTAGAGCCTTGTAGAACCTCCCGTGGAGCTCCTTCTCCTTCCATACGGTCTCCCGGTCGAAAATGCGCTGTACTGCCGGGTCTTGAAATTGCTCGTTGGCTAAGGATAGAGGGGTAGGTCCTTTATCACAAAAAATAACGTCCCTATATAATGGATCATCCGCTCTCGCCAGAAAATAATTACGGAGGCTGCACACTTCGCGATTATGCAGGGTAAGCGCGCTTAAAAAGCCACGCCCACCATGCTTCCGCGGCAAGTATAGCCTCATTACCGACGATCTCGGATGATGCATTCTGTGGGACGTCATTATAGTGCGGACTATTCTGTTCAGAGCGTTCAGTTCGGTCTGAGTCCACCTGAGTATGCCAAAGATATACATAAGAACAGGCATGATCCAACCGTTATAAGCGTGTGTTTTATTAACGCTCGACAAAAGATTGTTAAGCATTTTTGTCAAGCGTGCATAAAACACCTCGTAAACTGACTGCTTCACACCCGCCTCATCAACACCGATGTTCTGTGACATACCCAGGTATCGGTATGTTTCAGCCTCGGAAAGGGTCCTTATGCTGATGGGCATAGATAAGTCCATGCCCTCAGAGTTAGCAACCCTTCCGCTTTCGCCATGGAGGATCGCACACTTATCCGTCCCCAGCTCCATTCCAATAGAATTGCTAAAATCACAAGTGATGTTTAGCAATTCCACAAGATGGGAGCGACTGGAGGCGAATAACTTGAGATTATCCATATAGAAAAGGTGGGTCACTTTTGTACCTCCTTTCCGAAGCTGAAATCCCCTCACGGAACCCTCCAGTAAGGTACTGAGAGGGTTCAGAGAGAGGCAGAACCAGATTGGACTCAAACAATAGCCCTGGAAGATACATATACATAATACATAAACACTCACGCCTGTCACCCAGAGGGGTAGGCAGAGACTACGGACTTCCATTTGGCGCGATCCTGACACACCTCTCTCGCCTCTTTTACATCCATATATCTACGTATACACGCTCGTCGGTTAAGGGTACTCCTAATCTGGCCCATTTTTAATGTATCGCCGATTTGGTCGATAAACCTTCGTCTAGGGCGTCCCTTCCCGACCCTGCCGTTCACTTCTGTAACATAAATTTGCTTTGTCACTCTTTTTTCGTTCATTCTTTCTACATGACAAAACCAACGAAGCATTCCTTTCTTAATCCTTGTCACAACGTTATCTTGCAAACAACTTTCTTATCACACTATTTCTCACCGTGTCATTCAGATTCAGCCCTAGTATACTCCTTAAGGACCGCATTTCTACCGCATTTATTCTACTCTCATGCTTCTTCTGCCAAACCCAACTTTCACTACCATACATTAAAGTAGGGACAAACACGTGCCTTAGTTGACACATTCTGACTCCTCATAATAGCGTGTAGAGCCCCATTCACTCTATTTCCTGCGTTCACTCGTCGTTCTATATCCTTGTCATATCTAACATCCCTGCTAAATAAACATCCCAAATATACAAACTCATCCACTTGCTCAATCAACTCCCCTTCTATTCTTATTTCACATAAATATTTTACTTTCTTCTCTTTCAAAAACCACCACTTTCGTCTTACTTGCGTTCACTTTCATACCCCTTTCTTTCAATGACCAATTCTTTAAAGTAACCATCATTTGCAACTCGGCCGCCGACGATGCATATATGACTTGATCATCGGCGTACAAAAGGCATTTGACCGTTGACTCACCCATTCTCAACCCACATTCTTCAACTTTCAAAGTTTGCAAACAACTGTCCATAAATAGGTTAAACAGCCACGGGGAAGTCACACAACCCTGTCTGACACCTTTATGAATGCCAAACCAGTCCGAGTAGACCCCGTTGATCCTGACACAAGCACTAGAATCCCTATAAAGAGACTTTAATGCCTGTATCAAGCCAGCGCTCAACCCAAATGAGTTCAGTGTTTGCCATAACACATTCCTGTCCACTCTGTCATAAGCCTTTTCCAAGTCCATGAACGCACAAAAAACTTTCTAGTTTTTGGCCAAAAACTTCTCCGCTATCATGCGCATGGAAAAGACTTGATCCATACACCCCATCCCCTTTCTAAATCCAGCTTGCACATCCCAAATTTTTCTATCAGTTGCTTCCATAACTCTTTTAATTAACACTTTAGCATACAATTTACCCACAATGCTAAGCAAGCTGATACCACGGTAGTCCCTTATATATTGGGACTTTAACAGCTTTGCACCAGTCTTCCGGTACCCGCTTCAGTTCCCAACACAAATTAAATAAGGTGTACAGCAGGCCTGCAAGCACACCCTCACCAGCCCTTAGCATTTCGAGTGGTACTCTATCATATCCGGCTGCCTTAGCTGCTTTCATGCTTTTCATTGCTTTCATTATTTCATCTACACTTATCTCCCTACATCTCTCCACTTCTTCCGGAATTTCTATTTCACTTATTTCAGACGACTCTTCACTCTTAAACACGCTTAAAAGTAATTCCTTCCATCTCTTTAAATTCGAAACTTCATCATTCAACATGCAGCCATTCTCGTCTCGTATAGCATTCATTCTAGGCTGTTTTGAAATTCCCCTGGCAGTTCTTACGAGCTTCCAGAACATTTTAATATTTTCCTTGAAGTTATCAGATATCCTTTTATTATTTTTATCTATCCTTTCTTGCTTTTTCCCTTCAACAACTTCTTTTACTCTCTTATTTATACGTCTAAAGTCTGCCTTTTTTCTTTCAATCTCATCATTCATACCGCCAGAATTACCAGCTTTAGTTGCTAGTAAATCTAGCCATGCTCTCTTCTTTGCTTCAACTTTCATCCGTACCTCATCATCCCACCACAACGTATTACTTTTCCTTTCATTCGTTCTCTTGCATCCACCAAAACTTTTTTAATATTATTCCATACATTATTCAATTCTAAATCATTCATACATAATTCATTCAACCCACCTATATTTCCCCTCAGTCTGCATTTATACTTCTCTTTCACACCTTCATCTTGTAACCTCTCTATTCTTATACGCTGTAACGCAGTGGTAGACACAGATGTCCGATGCCGCTAACGTTTGAATAGACCTTTAATTCGGCATAATACCAAGTAATGATCCGTCCCTACGTTGGACCCATGGTAAACCCTTGTATCTACCACTGCGCTCCTCATTCTTTCATCCACAATTATAAAATCTATCATGCTTCTATCATCCCCTCTTTCCCATGTACACATGTGAATCCTCTTATGGCGAAAGAAAGTGTTCGCCACAAAAAGATTCTTTTCCACACATACGGTGAGGAGGTCTTCACCATTCTCATTTATTTTTTCATCGCCAAACGTTCCTAATATCCTATCATAACCAGACCTCTTCACCCCAACCCTTCCATTAAAATCTCCTAACATAATAATATTTTCATTTTCCTTACATTTCATCAACACCAACCTTACCATGTCCCAAAACTGCTCTCGGATATAAGTGGGCTTAGACATATCTGGGGCGTACACCCCTAGCACAAACAACTTCTTTAAGCCCACTTTCATTCGTATCCACAGCAGCCTTGGGCTTACACATTCATACTCTTTCACACATTGACCCATTCTTTCTGAAAGGATGACACCGACTCCCTGGCATGCCCGCTCGGTCTCGTCTACTCCAGACCAGTAAGCGGTATACATGCCATGTGCAGTGACATCTCTTCCCTTTCGTTTCGTCTCGTTCACACATTACACATCTATTCCTCTATCATTCATCATTTCGCATACTTCATCCATCTTATCATTCATTGCTCCACATACATTCAGCGTAGCCAGACGGGTCTCCGCAAACCACTTTTCGCACCCCCGGGAGACAGGACGTGACGGGTGGCGAACCTCGTCGCCGGTTTTTCTCCCGGAGATTCTTCGCACCCCTGCCCCTTAAAGGGGCGCCGGGAACTCGGGGCCATTTCTTTTTCTACTTGGCTCATAGTGCGAACTAAGGGATGGTAGATTTTACGCCGCTACCATACGGCGAGAAGCCGAGTCTGTCGTTTCGGCTTTGTCGCTCGTTTAGCACCACCCTGGGGACACGTGTAGGGTGGGCCTAGAATTAGGTGGTCGAAGCCTACGGACGCGAGCGACCCATCCCCTGGAAGATACCGCTTCTTATCCTTATGTGGTTCTCCGCAGCCGTCATCCGCTGGCCTAGATGACAAAGGATCGTACTCCACTGCCCCATACACTGCCCGAGGAAGTCTCGAACCGTACAGTCAACCTCGTACAGCTCGAGGACCCTCTTAAGCCATGTATGAGGCACCGAGTCGAATGCCTTTTATTATTATTATTATTATTACTTTGTTGCTTTCATATTGTACTCAATGTTTTGTTGACTATTGAAAACAACGATCTGTGGCTGGTTTAAGCGACTGTTACGGAGTCGAAGCGCTATCTAATAAAATGCTATTGGGAAAGTCGATCACCTGCAGTCTAAATAATTTATAGTAGATTACCGATACTATAAATCTTGTGCATCTATGTTATTGTGACTGTTTTGATTTCGTTTTCAATAAAAAAAAAAACATTAAAAAACATTTCGTAAAACAAAACTATTTTGACATAATAATGTACTATACAAAGTAAGTGACACAGTATTATTAAGCTCTTCAAATGTCTGGCGGCGTCGAGAAGATTATGAATGGTGCCAACGAGAACTATACAAACTCTTAGGCGTAAATCTAAGATATAATTTTTGTATGCCTTATTCCCCTTTAAATTATTATAGATCGTGAACAAAACGAGCAAATGAATTTTATAAATTTAGACTAGGATAGAACATTTCACTATTTAGTTATTTAGTGTAGATTATAACAGTATAATACCTTTAGGTAAGCGAATGCTGTGGCTCATAGACATCATATTTATCCCTTATTAAGAATCGAAATAATATTGCATTGTCACTACCGAAGAATAAGAAAGAATGCCAGGTTACCAGAAATTAATGTATCTGGTTTTCAACATTTACATAGCCGGTTTATACTACTATTTTACATGGATGATATGTACGAGCATAGTCATTTCCTGACAGAGCCTGCCACAAAGTGTAAATTTGATAAAAATCACGAACAACTTAAGCAGTGCTAAAGTTACGAAGTTGTTCTTACATTTTTTCATAGTCATTAATGAGACTGATATTACGGTATTTCACAAGTTAAATGAGTAGAAATACAGGTCAAGACTTGTATTTCCACTTTGTTGAGCTGTAAGTAACGAATACAGATAATGATGAGATAAATTTCAGACCTTTAAAATTATGTGGTTAGAAATATAGTAATTTATATATAATATACATATAGATGGTATTACATTTTAGTTCAATTTTTAACTTTCCATTTAAGGGCAGTTGTATGAGACCGTTGTTTAAAAGACCAAATTTTGACATTAAGCTCTTGTGGTTGATTCTATTCTTTTAAAAATATGTATAGTTTTTGTGCACAGACGTATTTTCGCGTTCCAAAACTAAGGATGAAATCAATAATATTCCGTCGCAACTAATATCATTCTATGTCTATTTCTTGCATAATGTTCTCCTATTGAGTTATTGACGTTCCATCCGAGCCATCAACGTTGTATTTCTGATGTTTATCCAACTCATAAACGTCAAGTTATTGATATGTGTATCAGTCTTATCAACGTAGAGTTATTGATCATCTTCCGAGTCTTCAACGTTGAGTTGTAAATGTTAATCTGCTTCGTCAATGTTGA